CAGTCGGCCTTATACTCTGGAAGAAACCAGAAAACCCTCCAGCCCAGTTCAAGAATAAGCCTGTGGAAAGTTACTTCTTCAAAAGCAAAAATATCTCATATCACCTCTTCTCCTTTTCTTCTCTTTATCCTTCATGCTGCCTGCAAGATAGGGAGAATGAGAACAATCAGCCGGAACTCGAAATCAAACTTCTAATCTGGGACTGATTGCTTGGAGCTCTAATTGCTTACCTTGTCTGTCACCTCTTTCAGCAAATCCCCTAGCTCGGCGACTTGGGGGACTCCTACTACATGGTTTGTATCGTGCTTGACCAAGCATGAAACTACAAGTAAGCTTCAAGTGAAATTGATACATTACCTTGTGCATCTCCACCAGTTAAAGATACCACCCCTGGATGGAGGAAGAGTACTTTCAGAGAAGATGCCACATCTACCTATGAGACAGATAAGGCAAGTGAAGACGATATCACACTTCGGTACTTAGAAGTTTCGTGATTACGAGATCATTCTCCCACAATTTTTCCTAATGTCATTTGTACTAAATCATTCACTTGTACTCACTAAAGGAGAGCTTGAACCTATGTACTTATGTAAACCCTTCACAATTAATGAGAACTCCTCTACTCCGTGGACGTAGCTAATCTGGGTGAACCACGTACATCTTGTGTTTGCTTTCCTGTCTCTATCCATTTACATACTTATCCACACTAATGACCGGAGCAATCTAGCGAAGATCACAAACTTAATACTTTCTGTTGTACCAAAGTCCTCACTGATTTTGTGCATCAACAATCCTTAAGTCCTTACCTTTTTGCGTTGGTAATGGAGGAGTTAACAGGACATATTCAAGATGATATTCCTTGGTGTATGCTTTTCGCAAACGATATAGTGTTGATAGATGAAACTCAGGAAAGGGTAAATGCGAAGCTTAACCTTTGGAGAGAAGTGTTGGAATCTAAAGATCTTCGCCTAAGCCGATCAAAGACAGAATATATGGAGTGCAAGTTCAGAGCAAACGAATGCCAAAATGAGTTAGAGGTGAGGATCGGAGATCAGGAAATACCAAAGAGCGATCGTTTTTGCTACCTAGGATCTATCTTGCAAAAGAACGAAGAATTAGATGGAGATCTCAACCATAGAATACAAGCTGGATGGATGAAGTGGAAGAGTGCATCCGGCGTGTTGTGTGACCATCGTAGGCCACTGAAGCTCAAGGGAAAATTTTATAGGACGGCAATAAGGCTGGCGATGCTGTATGGCACAAAATGTTGGGCGATGAAGCATCAACACGTACACAAAATGGGTGTAGCGGAGATGAGGATGCTTCGTTGGATGTGTGGGCACACGAGAAAGGATAAGATTAGGAATGAGAATATCCGAGGTAAAGTAGGAGTAGCCGAAATTGAAGGAAAGATGAGAGAAAATCGGTTACGGTGGTTTGGACATGTGCAAAGAAGGCCTACTGACGCTCTGGTTCGAAGATGTGACTACGGGACAGAGGTTCAGGGCCGAATGGGTAGAGGAAGACCTAGGAAAACTTCGGAAGAGACCCTAAGAAAAGACTTGAGTACTTAGATCTAACGGAGGACATGACACAAAACCGAGCGCAATGGCGTTACAGGATTCATATAGCCGACCCCACTTAGTGGGAAAAGACTTTGTTGTTGTTGTTGTTGTTGTTGTAGGGAAGATCATGGTGGCATGTGCTTTGGGTGGGAGTTTGTACCGCAGGGGAAGCTGTTGTACATTCTTGAAGCAGAACATCGTGCAGAGAACATTCAGAGGATTGGTATGTATGTCTTTGCCTCTTTTTAGATTAAATAAACCCTTTGTTTAGATTAACTCTGGCTTTTGGCTTCATTATGTATTCATGAAACTAATCTCTGCAGTTTTTCAATTCATCTGGGGTATTTGTTATTTTGAACGACACTAAAATTATTTATGGGTTATAGGAACCATGGGTTAATCTTCCCTCAAAATAAGAAGAAAACACTTCCTCATCACCATATTTCGGCACCTCAGGTGTATTTGTGTTGTAAAGTCTTTTACTTCTTTCAGTTTCTTCAGAGCTATTAATTTTCCCATATGTGATTTGTAAAGTGCAAGATTGGATTTCATGTCTTGAGTACTTATGGTTGTGTATAGTGCAAACTTGAGTTTATTGATCCAATTGGCTAGAACAGTATACTCAACCAATTTCATATCCTCTTGGCCAAAGGAGAGTATGATACTTGCCACTGAGAAAAATACTTCATATAATAGCAATGTGTTGGTGTGTGGCATGCTCTAATTAGGGATATTTTTGCGTTATAAGAAAGCAATAGAGAGTCACATTGAGTTTGGAATTTGTAAGTTACAAGCTCATGGAAAGTAGGCTTTTGTAATTGTCTAATGACATGGTCAAAGAGTTGTCCACCATATGTTTACAATGGTAACGAACACTGTAGTCTAATTCCGTTGGAGAAATTTCAAAATAAGATGTTAAATGTCTGAAATAAGCCTAATGTTGAAATTTATTTCATTGTTTCGTTTTTTCTATGAAAAAACATTTATTGTTGAAATTTTCTTGGTGCTTTCTTTTAAAGTCAGGATGGGGATTATTTAGCTTTCATTGATTGGCATTGGTTTTTAAGTTGTCTTTGCTTTTGTTTGTAGGATCAACTTGGGAAAGAACATAACAGAGCAGAGCATAGGCATTATCAATTTATTTGCTAAAGTATTGCAGGCTTGCAGCTATCTGCACGACTCCAACGAGCCACACCAAGCTTGCAATGGGTTTGCATGCCTGTAAAGCTCCCTCTTCCTCTTTCTCTCCCTCCATTTTTTCCTTATTAGTTTCGTGCTAACATCAATTTGTACATCGATGAAATAGGAGCAGCTAGATTTTGAACAACTATTTATATGTATGTAGAGTTGTCAACAACTATTATATACATTTTATAAATATTTTGTACATGTTTTGTATAAATACTTTTTATATATTTACACACAATGGTTACAACACATTTAGTTCCTCATTCTAACACATACAACGCTTATAATCAAGTTGGCATTTCAGCGGCAACGCACGGGCTAAATTTCTAGTATAATACTATATATAAGTTTCTGAAAATCTAAGCATGCCATAAAAGCTGAAATCTGATATATACTTGTATACATTAAGAGCTGATAAATATATATATAATGAGTTGATACTTACCAGTGGCATGACATACAATATCATCACCATCCATGACTAGTGGAAGCTGAATAATATAATCATTTCATTGTCGAGTAATCTTGAGGCAATGATAAGTGGAAAATGTAACTGTGTAATCATGTCATTACTGAATAATCTCAAAGTAATGATAAGTTACGAGTATAATTGTGTAATCATGTCATTACTGAGTAATCTCAAGGTAATGACAAACTAAAAGTATAACTATAGTACCCCAATACACGTGTAAGTTGATATATAATCATCCACTAGACGTAGCTAGTGGAAGCTAGAGGTATAATCATCCATTAGCCGTAGCTAGTAGAAGCTAGTAATATAATAATGTCATAACTACGTAATCTCGAGGCAATGACAAGCTGGAAGGACATGTCCATCGTCCACAATGTGGACGAGTTGGAAATACTCATACACATGTAAATTGTGTCCTACTGCCGGAGACCTTGTACAATACTCTTAGTCTGTATGGGTGTATGCATGGCACAAGATAAATAATAATAAATGAATAACAATCATGAAATTGTCATCGTCATAAATCAATTATCATAAATCATAAATCATAATTCTGGTAGTAAAATCTTGAAATATATCTAACTCGTAAATCATAAGTCATAACTTTGAAGATATCATAAAATCGATATAATTAGTAAAATATAATTGAAATTCATATTTATTTAGGTATGCTTAGAATTTAGATAAATAAAACATTTATGAAATAAAAGTCCACTCTGATCATATAGGAAGTCTTCCTCAAGCTAGGTTTGTCCTCTAAGGTCTCTGGAACTCCTCACACCTAAGTGAATAAACGAAACCAAGCAAAACTCTATAAAACAATCAAATTCGAAAAAAGGTCTACGCTGACGAAAAAAGTTAACGGGTTGGCCACCGATGTAAATTTAAACTAACTTAATAAATAGATTAATTCAAATCAAATTTACTCGCAAGTGCACGAATTGGTTGTAGTGGAAATATGTAAATACGAGATTGAATTCACCGAAGTTCATTTAACAATTTAATCCTATAACTATTACTTAACAAATTGAAATAAGATTGGGTTTGTATTGAAGAATAATTAAAATTAACAATGATTAAAAAGAAATATGATTCAGAACAAATGTAAGAAAACACTAAGGCTTTGATTCCACCACTAATTGTCATACCCTGGATCCAATTGTCAACTCATGAATTATCAAATTAATGAAAACAACTTCCGTACATATGTTCATGGTCAGGTACACATGCCAATAATTTCCCAAAAAGATGTGAATTTTACTGTGGTCAGGTTTAAACTCAACTATTCCTATAGTCTCTATATCCATGGTCCGGTATACACAAACATGTAGAAATCCAATTAAGCAAGGTGAGAAACAAATTAACCACTTATCAACTTGGTCACGTCAAACAAATAGCTAATTTTCTAGGAAGCCACACAAACTAATATTCCTCTATGGTCGGATCAAACTATAAGTTCATGATTCTCATTCACAAAGCATCGATGAAATCCAATTCATGGTCAAAATTCATATGCAAATAATTTCAATATCAAAATCCTAGGCTATGGTCAAGCTCAAAGAACCCAATATCAAAATTGCAATTCCACTACTGAATGAAAACTAATCATCAATCTGAAATCCACAAATTAAACAATCAAATAACTAGAGTAATCATAATTAGGGCTTTCTCTAGCCTTAGCTAAGAGTTTAAAGCCCCATGAACAAAGAATTCATAGTAGTTCTATAGAAAATAAGGAAAACTAACCAAAAGGGCTTGAAAAATTTAATTTTTAACCAAAAACCATATTGAAAGTTTATTTAATGGTTAGTACAAAGCCCATTATTATATCAGCCCAAATACAATAGTCCAGACTAAATAATATTATAGTTTGTCAATTTTACCCCTAACGGATGTGGTTAACCTAATTTAACTATTCTGTTAGATTACTCGGTTTGGGGTCAGCCGAACGTATAAACTAATTGAATTTAAATTTTTGCCGATCAGTTTCAGTGGGATTTTCAACTTTTTATGAATCTGGTTGAGTGGTTTGAGTAATGCTTGCTGACGAATGTTGAGAGCATTTTGAAATCGTGATCGCCGTTGTTCAATTTTTCCGGAATAAACATTTGTTTCAGAACAGATTCGCAGTGGTTGCATATTTTGAGATTCTCTTGAATCGTTGTCATCGTCTTTCATATTTGGATAGATTTTCGTTTGGAGGTAATCGACATTTGTTCCGGAATAAACATCGGTGTTGTTCGTTGTGCTTGAATATTTTAACTGGAGTGATCGTCTTTCATATTTGGATAGATTTTCGTTTGGAGGTAATCGACATTGTTTTTTGCAGTTTTGTATTCGATTTTGAATTCGATTTTTTGTTTAATTCGAATTCGATTTTGAATTTGTTTTTGTATGTAATATGCTTCGCTTTTATTTGACTTTATATATTGTTGTTGATTTATTTTCAGATTATCAGATTGATTCGGTTTGTGAACTTTTCAGTTAGGAGTTTCGAAGAATCTCAGGTAAGTTTTGATTTGCTTGTTTGTTTTTTTTTTTTTTTTTTTTTTGAATTGGAATTCGATTTTGAATTCTTTTTTGCATGAATTATGCTTAGCTTTTTATTTGACTTATATATTGTTGTTGATTTGTTTTCAGATTAGCAGATTGATTCCGGTTTGTGAAATTTTCAGTTAGGAGTTTCTTATTTCGAAGAATATCAGGTAAGTTTTTATTTTTTTTTTGTTTTGTTTATATTGTATGTTGGTCATCTTGATTTTGTTTTCTTTTTCAGAAATTTATTATGAATTAATTCGTGTTATGCACATTTGATGTTGTTAACATTTTTTCAGAAATAGTGTTCTTTTTTTATGAAACAGTGTGTATTTCAGTTTATTTTTTGTTTTTGTGATTCTTGTGTTTTATAACTAGTGTAATTTCGTTCACTTTATATGTATATTGTTTAACTAATAGGTGTTCATTAAACTGAACTATTTATCAAAGTGAACTAGAAAACCACACTTTTTTACCAAAGCAAACTGAACTATTTATCAAATTGAACCATTTAGCAAACTGAACTACAAAACCACACTATTTATCAAAGTGACTAGAAAACCACACTTTTTTTACCAAAGCAAACTGAACTATTTATCAAACTGAACTATTTAGCAAACTGAACTATTTATCAAACTGAACCATGTAGCAAACTGAACTATTTATCAAACTGAACCATTTAGAAAACTAAACTATTTATCATATTGAAGTAGAAAACCACACCTTTTTACCAAAACAAACTGAACTATTTATCAAAGTGAACTAGAAAACCACACTTTTTTACCAAATCAAACTGAACTATTTATCAAACTGAACTAGAAAACCGCACTTTTTTACCAAAACAAACTGAACTACTTATCAAAGTTAACTAGAAAACCACACTTTGTTTATATTGTATGTTGGTCATCTTGATTTTGTTTTTCTTTTTCATAAATTTATTATGAATTAATTCGTGTTATGCACATTTGATGTTGTTAACATTTTTTCAGAAATAGTGTTCTTTTTTTATGAAACAGTGTGTATTTCAGTTTATTTTTTGTTTTTGTGATTCTTGTGTTTTATAACTAGTGTAATTTTGTTCACTTTATATGTATATTGTTTAACTAATAGGTGTTCATCACATTTTATGTTTTTAACATTTTTCAGAAATAGTGTTCTTTTTTTACGAAACAGTGGATATTTCAGTTTACTTTTTGTTTTTTTTGTTGTTTTGTGATTGTTGTGTTTTATGAATAGTGTTATTTTTTTTCATTTTATATGCATATTGTTTAATTATTAGGAACTGATTTGTTTTACAAAGATTTGAATTTAGATTTGCAACCGATTAATAAACAGTTGTTGTTTATTAATAAACAGTTATGGAGAATGGTAAACTAGCTCGGTTTACATATGGTGGTTTATGCGTCGTTAGTTCTATTTCATCATCTTCTACCTTCAATCAGATTTGCATTGATCTTTGTTCTAGGTTTAAGGGTTTGAGAGCTGGTTGTTTTGAGTTGCGATATGGTTTGAATGAAAATCCTAATTGCGTGTTAGATTGTGATGCCGATGTTCTAAACATGCTGATGGTTCTTGATGTTGTTGGGAAATCGATTGTAAAAATATTGGTTATAGACAAATGTGATGGTTCCATAGTTCAACTACCTTCGGAAAGCACATCTTCTTCTTGCCGTACATTAGACTCTATGATTGTTTCTAGTGAAAATGATCATTTAGGAAAGTATGGTTCATACGGTGTGCACAATTATATGTCATGTGAATGGGACAATTACATAGAATCTGAGGGGCAAGTCTTTAGGGGAGGTTGTGTTGATTTCCGAGATAAGTTGAAGAAGTTTTCTGTTGAATGTGGTTTTGATTTGAAGTATTTGAAGAATGATAAGAATCGCATTAGTGCGGAGTGTTCTAGGAAGGAATCTGATGGCTGTCTTTGGCGTGTGTATGCATCCAAGTGTGATATTAATAACTTTTTTGTTATTCGGAAGTTGCATAATCTGCATATATGCAAGGGTATGATTCGAAAGAAGAAAAACAAAGTTGTTGGCCGACAGTTTGTTGCTTCTCTCATCAAAGATAAGGTTCAATCAAATCCTCTTATTAAACCGAAGGAGATCATTTCAAATTTAAAACAGTTTTATGGATTAGATATCGATTATTCTACTGCCTATTTTGGCAAACAGAGGGCAGTTTTTGAGTTAAATGGTGATGATGTTGATGCTTACAAGTTCTTGCCTTGGTATGTTGAATCTGCTCGTTCAAGCAATCCTGGATCTGTTTTTGAGCTTGAAGTTGTACCGGAGAGCAATAGATTTCTTCGTTTGTTTATTGCTTATGATGCATGGATAAAAGGTTTCATGTTTTGTCGCCCGATGTTATTCATTGATGGTACTTTTATCAAGAGCAAATACAAGGGAACACTTCTGTCTTGCTGTGCAAAAAATGGTAACGATGGTGAGTTAATAATTTTAGACTTTTATATTGGATATTATTTGTTTCTGTTTTCTTACTGTGCAAAAGAAACATATCCAGAACTAGTTGAAGAACAGTTTAAGAAATAGTTCAATCAGTCTCATAAATAGGTGATACTTTGACTGTATCTGTTTTTATTTTATTTTTATTTTTTGGTGCATTGGTCTTTGATTTTATGTTCAAATAAAGTAAAAAGGTTGCAGAAGTAGTTCAAACAAAGTATACTAAATAGTTCAATTACAATTTCAGAAGTAGTTGACATTTGACAGTGCATTTTAATTTTTTTGTGCAGAGATTTTTGAGGTTGCTTATGCTATTGTTGATTCAGAAACGATAGCAAATTGGAGATGGTTCTTGGCAATATTATCTGGTATATTGAGGCCTCAAGGGAGGGTGATTACATTTATGTCGGATAGACATGATGGTATTTTGAAGAGCATTCGAGAATTCTTTCCCGAGTGCCCACATTCATTTTGTATTGTTCATTTGAAACAGAATGTGAGTACTTTATTTCCAAAGGCTGCTGGTGAAGGACTAAAGAAGAAAATGATGAATCTGTTGGCAAATTGTGCGTACGCATGTACGCCATCTGATTTTGATGATTGCATGGCTGAATTCAAGGATAATGGGCAAGGGCATGTGAAGAATTTTTTGTGTGATTTGCCAAAAGAGAACTATGATATTGCCCATTTTCCTGGTAAGAGATGGGGATCGATGAGCAATGCACTTTCAAAATCTTTTAACGCCATGGTGTCGAATAGTCGTTGTATGCCACTTATGGATCTTCTTGAAGACATTAGAGTTCGGTTGATGGGTAGTATGGCTGAGAAAAGAATATTTGGTCAGAATATTCATACGATTTTGTGTCCAAAGAAAGAAAATGAGATGAAGTTGATGTTGAAGGAGGGCATGCATTTGAGGATTAGTCGTTCTGATGCGGATGTTTTTGAAGTTAGGACAGAGTGGAATCGGTTTGTTGTTTGTCTGGATGATAGGACATGTTCTTGTGTGCAATGGCAGCATAATTGTTTCCCATGTTCTCATGCTTTACAGGTGTTGCAACATGATAATCGTGATGTTTTTTATTACGTTGATGATTACTGGAAAGCAAGCTTTTATCGGAAAACATATCAATTTGTCATGCATCCATTTTCAGATTTGGAAAAGCCGAATGTTGATACTATCATAAATGGTGTGAGGCCTCCAATTACAAAGTTTCCGTCTGGAAGACCAAAGAAAACTAGGATCAAATCTGCTGGGGAAATCAGTGGGAGTAAGAAGACTGTCACTTGTAGTAGGTGTGGTTGTTCGGGACATAACAAGGTTTCTTGTAAAGTTGTTATACAAGAGGGTTGATTTTTTTTTCTTTTTTGTTTTGAGAGATTGGAGTTTTTAGTGATATGTACCATATTTTCATTTTGGATATTTTTTTTATTTTGTTTTAATTGGTGTTTGGGAATATGTAATTGTTGATTTGGAATTATGTTCGAGTAATAAATATGAATTCAATGTTTTAGTATTTCCAGTTTTACGAAACAGTAGGTTGAGTTTGATAAATAGTTCAGTTTGATAAACAATGAATACATGTCTATGTTTATGGCTTTGTGGTCTCAATATCTGTTTTGTAGGTTGTATGTAAGTTTGTGTATTGCATTTTTGTAGGAGGCAAGTATGTTGGTTTTCATTCTTGATCTAGTTAATATTCCTTTTTAGGTAAGAGGAAATGAAAAAAAACCACACTACTTATGAAAACTAGGATCAAATCTGTTGGGGAAATCAGTGGGAGTAAGAAGACTGTCACTTGTAGTAGGTGTGGTTGTTCGGGACATAACAAGATTTCATGTAAAGTTGTTATACAAGAGGGTTGATTTTTTTTCTTTTTTTGTTTTGAGAGATGGGAGTTTTTAGTGATATGTACCAGATTTTCATTTTGGATATTTTTTTTTTATTTTGTTTCAATTGTTGTTTGGGAGTATGTAATTGTTGATTTGGAATTATGTTCGAGTAATAAATATGAATTCAATGTTTTAGTATTTCCAGTTTTACGAAACAGTAGGTTGAGTTTGATAAATAGTTGAGTTTGATAAACAGTGAATACATGTCCATGTTTATGGCTTTGTGGTTTCAATATCTGTTTTGTAGGTTGTATGTAAGTTTGTGTATTGCATTTTTGTAGGAGGCAAGTATGTTGGTTTTCATTCTTGATCTAGTTAATATTCCTTTTTAGGTAAGAGAAAATGAAAAAAAACCACACTTCTTATGAAAGTGAAGTAGAAAACCACACTTTGTTACCAAAGCAAACTGAACTATATATCAAAATGAATTATTGATGATAGTGAACTAGAAAACCACACTTTTGTATGAAAGCAAACTGAACTATTTATCTAAGTGAACTAGAAAACCACATTTTTTTAGGAAAGCAAACTGAACTATTTATCAAAGTGAACTAGAAAACCACACTTTTTTATCAAAGCAAACTGAAATATTTATCAAACTGAACCATTTAGCAAACTGAACTATTTATCAAACTGAACTATTTAGCAAACTGAACTATTTATCAAACTGAACCATTTAGCAAACTCAACTATTTATCCACATTAAAGTAGAAAACCACACTTTTTTACCAAAGCAAACTGAACTATTTATCAAACTGAACTATTTAGCAAACTGAACTATTTATTAAACTGAACCATTTAGCAAACTGAACTATTTAGCAAACTGAACAACAAAACCACACTATTTTACCAAAATAAACTGAACTATTTATCAAAGTGAACTAGAAAACCACACTTTTTTACCAAAGCAAAGTGAACTATTTATCAAACTGAACTATTTTACCAAAACAAACTGAACTATTTATCAAAGTGAACTAGGAAAACAGAGGGCAGTTTTGGGTTAAATGGTGATGATGTTGATGCTTACAAGTCTTTGGGTTAATATTCCATTTTAGGTAAGAGAAAATGAAAAAAAACCACACTACTTATGAAAGTGAAGTAGAAAACCACACTTTGTTACCAAAGCAAACTGAACTATATATCAAAATGAATTATTTATGATAGTGAACTAGAAAACCACTTTTTTATCAAAACTAACTGAACTATTTATCAAACTGAACTAGAAACCCACACATTTTAACTAAGCAAACTGAACTATTTATGAAAATAGATTAAAATTTAGATTAAGTCATAAAACATATATATATATATATATATAGAGAGAGAGAGAGAGAGAGAGAGAGAGAGAGAGAGAGAGAGAGAGAGAGAGAGAGAGAGAGAGAGAGAGAGAGAGAGAGAGAGAGTGAGAGAGAGAGAGAGAGTTGTGTCAAACATGTTTGACAATGACATTTGTAAATCATAGCAAAAGTAAGCTTGAACATGTAAGTATTGATTCAGTTTAGACCAATACTTTCCACCATCTCTCAGATTTTCATCTTGAACCTTAAAAAGTACATCCGAATCAAAATTACATATAATGCGTATTTTTTATTTTTTATTCTAATGTCCAATGCTTGTGAGTTGTTGTGAGATTTCGATATATGCTTCTTGTTCCCTTGTCCAGCTGAAATCATGGTTCATCAAATCCACGAGGATATGTTTCCTTGCTTTCATTACTTGATGATCTTTGATACATCTTTGAACCTTCTGGTTAGTTGATAGTTGGTCAATGAAGCTCATCATGTATAAGCCGCAATCTAATATGATTTACAAAGAAATTCATGGAATGATTATGAGTATTAAAATGAAATGAAATGTGTGGTACAAACTATTTCTATAACTGTATCAAATTATTCATATTGTTTCTGAAACTGCAGTAAGCACAAGCTATACATATATATAACTAAAATTCTTTTAATTTTATAACGTACGATGTTGGTTTCTGTTGTGCACAGGTTCTGTCTTCTTTGACTTGGAATTCAAAGTCACTTTTGATGGAATTAATTTTCTTCGTTGTGGCTTGAGTTGAATCCATAGCATTTGAATTGCTTGTTGATTTTTTTGCTTTATCCAGCCAATATTGAACAAAGTGGCCCTGCAAAAATTTATAATGTAATAATAAGATGATTGTTTTTCTATAAATATGACAGAGTTTTTGGTTGTGCGTTTTTGCTTACCACAATTTCTGAATTTTCCCAGTAGCAATCAAAGTCCAGATCTTCATCTGTTGTGCTTTGTCGAAGAGAATTGTAGTGAATCATTTCTGCATTTTTTGTGTCCAAAACTACCAAGGAGAAATGGTTGTAATGAAATAATGGGAAGAAAATCTTTGATACTATTCCATATTGGTCCATCAATTGGTTGTAGAGCCTTTCCTTGTTTTGCAGAGTTGTTTCAATGCTTTGTTCATTGATGTTGTGCTGTTGAAAATGAAAATCATCAAACATCATAATTACAGATTAATTGTTCTAATTTTTATATGTATATGTAAATTATTTTTTTCAGAATATTAGTTGTTTTGTTTGCTCACAAAGATTGTTGTGGAGACATAGAAGTTCTTTTGTTTCGTGATGTTCTCTTTTTCTCTTTTCATGTAGCAGAAAGAATCAACAATCTGAGTTGATGTAGGTCCATTTGCAATCAAACTGTGCATGTCATCTTTCAACACCATTATTCTGTAATAGTTGAAATCTGTAGTTTCAGCCATCCAGTATTCATCACTGCAGGACAGTGCAAAAGTATTAGTTATACAATAATTCGTCAGTGCTTATAAAGTTATGGGAGTGTGTAAAAACTTCAGTTAAGAGTTTTGTTTTGTATTACTTACCTGATGTCTATTGACTAGAATTGAGTTATTCTTCTTCTATCATCTGGTTTCAGCATCTTGTACACTTGAAGTTGTGTCCAATTCACACTGCTGTCTATGTGATTTGTTGCTGGAAGGTCATCCGGTTGTGAAGAAGGCTCATCTTTTAAATCCAGGTTGAATGATGGAATTTCACCCAAGAGTTTCTTTCTGTTTTTTGTCTTTGGCTTTGCTGCTTTTTGGCTGAATGTTTGCTTTTTGACTTGTAGATCATTCTTGTTGAGAGCATTGTTGCTTTTTAGAGCTTCAATATCTGTTTCTTCAATTTGTTGCTTGTTTGATTCTGAAACTGGTTTGGCATTTTCCTTTTTCTTTCTCTTGATTGCTGTTGGTGGTTGGAGTGTTTGGCATCTTTTCTTCTGCATCCTTGATTCACAATTGTTCTGTTCTTTAGGTTGTGTCTTCCAATTCCTCTGCCTTTGTAGTGGTTGTTTTTTTTCCACCTTTTTCTTTGCAATTTGCATTGGTTCTCCAACTTCTTCTTCAGTAGTGGTGTCAATCTGTAGATGAATTGTTTCCTTCTTCGTACGTGATCTGTTTTCTATTTTTCCAAGCATTTTCCTTTGTTCTGTTCTCTTTGTTGTTTTGGATATCATTTTGACATTGGCTTTGGTTGAGTTTGACATTTGTACAGTTATTCTAACTGAAACCATCTGTCAATATAGTTTTTATTAGAATCCAACTTGATCGTAAACAAAAAAAAATCAGTACAAGTACACGATTATATTTGAAACATACCAAGGTGAATTACTATTTATGGAATTGGAAAACATTTTTATAAGTGCATAAATCTTTATAAGATTCATATAACTAAATAAATTAGAAATAAAAATGTACAATAGCAGGTGTTTTATGTGTAAGATCTGGAAAAATTGCAATTCTATTTATAAATGAAGCAATTGTAAACTGTTTCGTAAACACTGTTTATTAAACTTTAAAAAACACAAACTATTTACTGAATGTAAAAATTATTAACAGACAATCACACTAGTTCATGCAATAGCGTAATATATGTTTATACTACTTGTTCGTGAATGCATCCCAGATTTTTACTATTTCCGTACATTTCAATTCTATTTACAAATGAAAGCAAATTGTAAACTATTTCGTAAACAGTGTTTATTAAACTTAAAAATCGTGAACTATTTTACTCAAATATAAAAATTACAAACAGAGAATCACAATAGTTCGTGTAATAGCATAATGTATGTTTATATATTGAACGATTAGCTAGTAAATAGTCTTTTTCTTGGGTGGATCTGTGATGGATTCGTACTGATAGTAAATAACAAAATAAATTTAAGCAAATAGTATAATCTGGGTTTTTGTTTAAGTTGATGCATGTTATTCTATATGCTGGATTCCAGTAGATGTTTGTTATATAAACAATGAACCGTATGATTTTGCGAAATATGTTGAGAAAAATTGTAAGATTGTTACCTTCTGTTTATTTTCTGGGTATTTTTCTGCGACCAAGTTGCTCAGCGAAGTTGAAATTTGCGTGAATTCGTCCGTAAAAGAACTGGAATGATGTACGAAATCGGGAAATGAGGATTGATGATTTGAGCTGGGGGCTGGGGGCTGGGTTTCTGGTTTTTTTTTATAGTGCATGCAGTTTCTTCATCGTGGCTTATCTGTGTGCGTGAAAAATGGGAGTGGTGTTAGGGAGAGAAAGTGAAGTTAGCGGAAGAGTGAAATGATGATTTTTGCTGGGCGTTAATTATGCGTGAAGGATGGGGTGCTGATTTGGAACTGAAAAAAAAAAAAAAAAAAAAAAAGCTGTTATTTTTCATTTTTTAGATATAGTGTGTACATATATTTCAGAAACAGTTTAAGTTATCTAGTTTTTTGTTTTGCATAAATTTATCTAATTTGGTAACTATATTTTTTGGATAATAAAATGGAACTTTAACAAAAAAGGAAGTGTCAAAATGTAAGCATGTGAAATTTTTTAATATAGTTCTCATTCTTATAAGTTATATCTCAAAGAATCAGGTATGTGAAGTTAATTGGCTTCATACTAAACTTCTTTTTCATTTTTATATGGTTTCTTTAGATGAGTAATGGTATTAGGCCACATAGGGCAAAAAAATTATAAAACGTACGCAAGTATGGGATGGACACCAGCATACAAGCCCACCTGAGCTCGGGGTTTTGTATGTAGATGTACATTGATATAAAAAAGGAAGTGTCAAAATGTAAGCATGTGAAATTTTTTAATATAGTTCTCATTCTTATAAGTTATAACTCAAAGCATCAGGTATGCGAAGTTAATTGGCTTCATACTAAACTTCTTTTTCATTTTTATATGGTTTCTTTAGATGAGTAATGTTATTAGGCCATATAGGGCAAAAAAATTATAAAATGTACGCAAGTATGGGATGGGCACCAGCATACAAGCCCACCTGAGCTCGGGGTTTTGTATGTAGATGTACATTGATATAAAATGTAATTTGTAAAACTCAAGCTAATGTAATAAAATCCTCATCTGGAATGTCATCATATTGACCATGTTTATTTTGTTGTCTTCTGTCTTCAAGTATCTTCTTCAGTCCATTTGCATAACTATTCTTATGATTCACAAGTGTAGTTGCAATTTGAGCTCTTTTAGCAAATACATTTTCCTTCTCAAATGTGGCTTCTACCGGTTTGCCCTCTTGCACTTGGGTTGCAAATTGAAGGACAAATATGCCACAATCCAATCTGCATTTTTTTTTTTTGGATAAATAAATAAGTATGACAGATAATGAGATCATATTATAACATTCGATGACATATTAAACTGAACTATTTATCAAACTGAACTATTTATCAAACTAAACCATTTAGCAAACTGAACTATTTATCAAACTGAACTATTTATCAAAGTGAACTAGAAAACCACACTTTTTTACCAAAGCAAACTGAACTATTTATGAAACTGAACTATATATCAAACTGAAGTACAAAAACCGCACTTTTTTATCAAAACAAACTGAACTAGAAAACCACACTTTTTTACCAAAGCAAACTGAACTTTTAGCAAACTGAACTATTTATCAAACTGAACCATTTAGCAAACTCAACTATTTATCAACATTAAAGTAGAAAACCACACTTTTTTACCAAAGCAAACAGAACTATTTATCAAACTGAACTATTTAGCAAACTGAACTATTTATCAAACTGAACCATTTAGCAAACTGAACTATTTAGCAAACTGAACAACAAAACCACACTATTTTACCAAAATAAACTGAACTATTTATCAAAGTGAACTAGAAAACCACACTTTTTTACCAAAGCAAAGTGAACTATTTATCAAACTGAACTATTTTACCAAAACAAACTGAACTATTTATCAAAGTGTGTGTATATATGATTTTCATGGTCCTTCTTATGTGTTTGAATGTATAAATTTAATTGAAAAATATAGAGATCAACTTGTTTGTATTTACGAGTCCTCCTTTTGTTGGGCGCAAGTTAAGCATCTTTCAATATCTATTGTGAGATTGCTGTCTCCTTTGAAATATTTGTAAAATCCTTCAATTTTGTCTCTCTGCCAAAAAATCAAAAAAACAAAAACAAAAAAAAAACAACAAAAAAAGAAATTGTATTATGAAGTTTGATTTTTCCTATCAGCATAAGAATATAGTTTGTAATTGAATTATAGTTTTGTTCTTACCACTTGAACAACATGATCAAAGTATAGGTCTGTATTCCCATGTACCCTTGGTAGTTTGGAATTGTAGTTTGTCATTTTTCCATTTTTAATGTCCCAAACTACCAAGCTGAAGTGAAAGTAATGCCTGATCAATATGAAGACCTTTGCTACTTTATCCACATTATCTTGCAAGACTGTCTGCAATGTTTTGTCAATATGCTCCTGATCACTCTTGCTTTTCTCAATCTCCATATCATTCTGAACCAAGAATACACATGTATTTATTAATCTTAATTAATGAGCAATACTAATTCTTAAACTGAACAAAAAAATACACATTTTTTTTTCAATCTCCACATATCATTCTAAACCAAGAATACACATTTAAAGTTTTAAAGTGAATGCAAGGCCTTTTCGCAAACTGAACTAATATCAAAGTGAACTATTTAGCAAAGTGAACTAGAAAATCACAGTTTGTTACCAAAGCAAACTGAACTACATATGAAAGTGAACTAGAAAACCACGCTTTGTTACCAAAGCAAACTGAACTACATATTAAAGTGAACTATTTGCAAAGTGAACTAGAAAACCACACTTTTTTTACCAAAGTAAACTGACCTATTTATCAAACTGAACTATTTATCAAACTAAACCATTTAGCAAACTGAACTATTTATCAAACTGAACTATTTATCAAACTAAACCATTTAGCAAACTGAACTACATATTAAAGTGAACTATTAGCAAAGTGAACTAGAAACCCACATTTTTTACCAAAGCAAAACTGAACTTTTAGCAAACTGAACTATTTATCAAACTGAACCATTTAGCAAACTGAACTATTTATCAACATTAAAGTAGAAAACCACACTTTTTTACCAAAGCAAACAGAACTATTTATCAAACTAAACTATTAGCAAACTGAACTATTTATCAAACTGAACCATTTAGCAAACTGAACTACAAAACCACACTATTTTATCAAAATAAACTGAACTATTTATCAAAGTGACCTAGAAAACCACACTTTTTTTACCAAAGCAAACTGAACTATTTATCAAACTGAACCATTTAGCAAACTGAACTATTTATCAAACTGAACTATTTATCAAAGTTAACTAGAAAACCACACTTTTTTACCAAAGCAAACTGAACTATTTAGTAAACTGAACTATTTATTAAACTGAACTATTTAGCAAACTGAACTATATATCAAACTGAAATAGAAAACCGCACTTTTTTATCAAAACAAACTGAACTATTTATCAAACTGAACTACAAAACCACACTATTTTATCAAAATAAAATGAACTATTTTATCAAAATGAACTTTTTTGTAAACAAAACTGTTTGGCACTTACAAATATGAATGAAGGAAGATACATATTTTTTTGTTGCCTCATTTTTTATTCGTTTTCTGCCATTGTGTAGAACGAAGCATCAATTATGTTGGCATCGATTGCTCCATCCACAAACAATGATGTCAGATCTGATTTTAGGACAACAAGGTCATTCACAATGGACCCTTGCCTTGGCTGCATCCAGAAGTAGTCCCTGTATCAGAAAAATAAAACGTATTATATATCTATGTATATATGTGTGTGTGTGTGTGTACACATGTATTAAGTTATGATTAATAATGTAAACTTACATTTTCTCTTGTCTGTAATATTCCTTGAATTTTTCTTTTGTCTCATCTGCAAGTAACTTGTACGCCCTTGTTGATGCAGGTAGATGATACCGTTTGTCAAGCTTTCGCTTTACAGGTTTCTTTGCATCCTTCTTTGCAGGTTTGTTTGCTATTTCTTTAGCAATTGGATTCAAGGGTGATTCAACCTTGGGCTCCTCCTTTCCTTTCTCAATTATTAGATCCAATGGTTGGCTTTCTGACGGCAAAATTGAAGGGCTTTCACTGTCACTCACAGCATATATGTATTTTGCCTTCTTTTGTTTTTTCTGGATGGGGATATAATCATAATGTGGATAGACATTTGGTTTACGATCATCCCTCATTCGAATATTTTTTACCAGTGTTCTCGTCTTCTTTTTGGCAGTCTCTTTTTCTTGCTTTTCAGCATCCTTGATAGTTGGAGTCTGCATTTGAACACCTGGTTGATCTCCAGAGGTTGCTTTTTCAGTGGCAGCGTCTTTTCCTTCATGATCTTGATCCTCCTCAGCTTGATCCTCCTCATTTTCATCTGGACCATGATCAATTGCATGCCTTTGTTTTGGATCCTCCATAGCCACATCATTTTCAGTTGCATTCTCTTGAACTGGATCCTCAGTAGCAGTATCCTTATCATGTGTATGCTCTTCAACTTGATCATCATTATCTGGATCCTCACCTTGATTTTCCAGTAGCTTCTTCTTCAAACTTCCAATTTCATCCAGAAATTTATTTACTTTCATAGAAGCTGCTGTGTTATTTAATTGCAACTGTATCATTTCTGTGTTCATTAAACTAATCTTCTGCTTGTCCTCAAGTCGTTCTTGCAGAAGCTTTTCAATGTTTCTGTTAAGGGCTCCAGTTGTTTCATTCATTACAATTGAATTTGTGTGTAGGTTGTCGAGTGCATATATCATCATGTGACTGAGGACTAGATACCTCTTTTGATCCATGCTCGCACATCTTTTAAACTTTTCAAAATCTTCCACACCTAATGTATTATCAATCCCGAAGAAGTCCTTTTGATAACTTGCATCAAATTTCATGAATTCTTCTTGGTACAGTTGATCAAACTGTAACTGAGCTTCATTGATGGTGATGCTTTGATCTTCTTCAGCTCCAACTTCAGTTCTCTTCCTTTTCCTTCCCGGTGTCTTCTTTTCCTTTTTCTTGGAAGACTCATTATTTTGTTGAGGATAAGGAATGGCATTACATTCTTCTTGATTGATGTTGGAATGCTCCCTTATTGGTTCTTCAGAACAAGGAATACCTCCACCAATCTGCACAGTGACACATTAAATAGTTGTTAAATTACATAATATGAAACTGAAGTAGAAACCACAGTTTTTTACCAAAATAAACTGAACTATTTATCAAAGTTAACTAGAAAACCACACTAATGTATGAAAGCAAACTGAACTATTTATCAAAGTGAACTAGAAAACCACACTCTTTTTACAAAACAAACAGATCTATATATCAAACTGAACCACTTAGCAAACTGAACTATTTATTAAACTGAAGTAGAAAACCGCACTTTTTTACCAAAACAAACTGAACTATTTATCAAAGTTAACTAGAAAACCACACTTTTGTATGAAAGCAAACTGAACTATTTATCAAAGTGAACTAGAAAACCACATTTTTTTACAAAACAAACTGAACTATTTATCAAACTGAACTAGAAAACCACACTTTTTTACAAAACAAACTGAACTATTTATCAAACTGAACTATTTAGCAAACTCAGGTATTTAGCAAACTCAACTATTTAGCAAACTGAACCATTTACCAAACTGAACCATTTACCAAACTCAACCATTTACCAAACTGAACTATTTATCAAACTAAACCATTTAGCAAACTAAACCATTTAGCAAACTGAACTATTTATCAAAGTGAACTACAAAACCCACACTTTTTTACCAAATCAAACTGAACTATTTAGCAAACTCAAGTATTTAGCAAACTCAACTATTTAGCAAACTGAACCATTACCCAAACTGAACCATTTACCAAACTCAACCATTTACCAAACTGAACTATTTATCAAACTAAACCATTTAGCAAACTAAACCATTTAGCAAACTGAACTATTTATCAAAGTGAACTACAAAACCACACTTTTTTACCAAATCAAACTGAACTATTTAGCAAACTCAAAGTATTTAGCAAACTTCAACTATTAGCAAACTGAACCATTTACCAAACTGAACCATTTACCAAACTGAACTATTTATCAAACTAAACCATTTAGCAAACTAAATCATTTAGCAAATTGAACTATTTATCAAAGTGAACTAAAAAACCACACTTTTTTACCAAATCAAACTGAACTATTTAGCAAACTGAACTAGAAAACCACACTTTTTTACCAAAGCAAACTGAACTATTTATGAAGCTGAAGTAGAAACCACATTTTTTTACCAAAACAAACTGAACTATTTATCAAAGTTAACTAGAAAACCACACTTTTGTATGAAAGCAAACTGAACTATTTATCAAAATGAACTAGAAAACCACTCTTTTTACAAAACAAACTGAACTATTTATCAAAGTGAATTAGAAAACCACATTTTTTTACAAAACAAACTGAACTATTTAGCAAACTCAACTATTTAGCAAACTGAACCATTTACCAAACTGAACCATTTAACCAAACTGAACTATTTATCAAACTAAAACCATTTAGCAAACTAAACCATTTAGCAAACTGAACTATTTATCAAAGTGAACTACAAAACCACACTTTTTTACCAAATCAAACTGAACTATTTAGCAAACTGAACTAGAAAACCACACTTTTTTACCAAAGCAAACTGAACTATTTATGAAACTGAAGTAGAAACCACACTTTTTTACCAAAACAAACTGAACTATTTATCAAAGTTAACTAGAAAACCACACTTTTGTATGAAAGCAAACTGAACTATTTATCAAAGTGAACTAGAAAACCACATTGTTTTACAAAACAAACGCAACTATTTATCAAACTGAACTAGAAAACACACTCTTTTTACAAAACAAACAGAACTATATATCAAACTGAACCACTTAGCAAACTGAACTATTTATTAAACTGAAGTAAAAAACCGCACTTTTTTATCAAAACAAACTGAACTATTTATTGAAATACACTTTTCTTTTTTACGCTATTTCTGTTACTATTTATTGAATCACACTAGTTTGCATAAATGACACTATTGCTGGATCTGTTTTATATAAATGACACTTCTGAAACTTTAAACTGTAAAGATCACTATGTTATGAAACTGTAAGGTGCAAAAATATACTGTTTATTGAAATACTTTTATTATTTTTCCTTACCTCAATTTCTTCAACTCGAATGTCTCTGATTGCTTTGTGGATTTTCGTTATGTCCCATCTTCCAATGACAGGAATCATGTTTTCTAGCCCACTTATTGTCTCCACCAGATTGGTGTGAAGACAAATCCAATACTGCATGAAATAAGAACTTTGAATTACTTTCTTGTGTAATTTATAAGAAATAATTCATGTTTTTTAAATATAGTTCTTATTTCTTACCAAAATAAGGGTAGTGCATCCGCTTGTTATTGCTGATTCTTCTCCATTTTTCCTTTTTTTCTTTGATTTGTTAATCCTCTTGAACAAGTAGTCCCTCACTCCTTTTGCCCAGTTGTATTTGCTGATTTGGTCCAAAGCTCCACAAATTGTTATGAAGCTCCACGCTATGTAAGTTCCAGATGTTGCAAATAACAGTGATTGTAGCAGATGCACACATATAATTGAAGCAGTAGCTTTTGCCCCTTCAGGAGTTTTGTCTTGGACTGATTTTTGGTATGCTTCAACAATGTCCTTTTTTTTCACTATTTTTTGCTTTGCAAAGTATGTTTTGACAAAGCTGTCCTTCATGTTCTTTGTGGATTTGTCTGTGTTTGGTAGTTCAACCCCTTGGTTGTTCAATCCAAATATTTGAACGACGTCTTCACTTGTTATTGCTTTTGGCTCATGATCTCCGAATTTGAACCGTTGTTGCTTGGAGTCATAGCATTGTATGATCTTGATCAGATCCATATCAGACTTCTTTTTTCTGTCCGTTGCAACAATTTCATCATCTATGTAGAACTTGATTAGACTCCAAAATGGTGTGTCTCGGCCAAATGATTGAATGACATCTTGGCGTTGTTGAAAGCATTGGTCTGTACAATTGCATTGCATTTGCAAACCCGAAAACGTTGCATCTATATTGAACATAAGAAGTTGCTGGTCTTATATTCTCTATCTTACGTGGACTCTTTACAGCGAAAGTCTTTATTCTTAGTTTCTTTGTTCCGTCCATCTGTAAGAATAAACATAGTTTAATTATTACAACTATTTATTACCAAAGCAAACTGAACTATTTATTAAACTGAAGTAGAAAATCACACTTTTTTTACAAAACAAACTGAACTATTTATCAAACTAAACCATTTAGCAAACTGAACTATTTATCAAAGTGAACTACAAAACCACACTTTTTTACAAATCAAACTGAACTATTTAGCAAACTGAACGAGAAAACCACATTTTTTTACAAAACAAACTGAACTATTTATCAAACTGAACTATTTAGCAAACTCAACTATTTATCAAACTGAACCATTTACCAAACTGAACTATTTATCAAACTGAAGTAGAAAACCACACTCGTTCGTGAATGCATCCCAGATTTTGTAAACACTATATATTAAACTAAAACACCACCAGAATAGAATGTTGATTATATTTAAGTTATTTAAGCAAAGAAAACAACATATGAGGGCAAGAAAATACTATTTAAAGGTTATAAGAAAACGAGCAGTTATCAAAGTGAAGTAAAAATATACCATTTTGCAGAAACATTGCTATTCGAAGCATTGCAAAACTTACATATTACTGTAAAATCACCAAAAATATCAGAAATTTTGTGGTACATACCTCTGTTTCTTCTCTGTTGCTTTTATTTCGCAAATTTTTTGTGTGTTTTCGTCTGGATGCAAATCAGAACTGTGAACTGGAAACATAATTCACTTTTTTAGAATCTCAAACATGCAAATGCAACATATTCAGTAAATTAAAGAAAGAAATCATCAAGAATATCAGAAAAATTATAGGTTCGTACCTGTGTTTGTCCGATTTCGACTCTGCAAACGTACAGATCGAATGTTTTCAGTTTTTCGTCCTCAAATGTAGTTTGTGGGTTGAGAAATTCCGGATTTGATGTGTAGATTATTGCTTGAAAACTTGAATCGAACTTGAAAACGCTTTGAGAACTTGACGTTTGCAGCAATGGAGGTTTCGTTTTTTTTAGTACGGTGTAAGGGTTTGGTGAACATTAATGGCGTTGGGAGGGATGATGAATTTCAGTAACTTTAGTTAACGGGGCCTGGGTTAGGCTCCGTTAGGGGTAATTTTGGAATATTAATTGTTATGCGGTTTGGGCTTTTTGGTGAGCCCGTGTGTTTTTAGTTTTGTAGGGCCTAAGATAAAAAAGTTTTGTGTCCTTATGATTAAAATTTAAGCCATTTTCATTAAATAATAGTTTAGGGTGGTTTTTCATTAATTAAAAGTTAATTCAATCCCTTTTCATTAAAGCTCCCTAAAAAATATGCATAAAATAAAACTGAATAAAAGAAACCAAATTACTGCTACTGCCGATGCCTTGTTCCACGCC